TGTGGATTTTGCTGTATAACTTATATTTCAAGTTATTTATTCCTGCACTTTTGTTTAAGAAGAATTTTACAGCTCTGGATAGACTTTCACCAAGTGAAAAAAAAATCCCCCAAAAGAAGACTTTAATAAAGATGTAAAATAAGCCATCAGTTTAACTGCTTGTGTTTAATGTCACATTCTGGACGGACCCTGAGTGCTAGGACCAGTGAATGGTTTACAGTGGTCTTACCAGGGACTGAAAATAGTCACACTGGGTGGATTTCTTCCATCAATTCAATATCTTAGAAAAATCACTTTATTTCTTGGTGTTTTATTATTATTTAAAAGACTAGACCTTGAACTTAGATGGAGTTCAATAAAAATTTCATTGAATTAAGTTGAATTGCATGGGAAAGTTTTTGATTTGTCATATAATATTAATCCAACTGTACTATTTTCTGTAGATTTCATTTGATTCTGGGGAGTTTTTGAAAATTTGGGAGAAATGGTGGTATTAGTTTAGTGATTGATGTTAGAATTCCTATTTTGGTTCGTTTCTACTGTCCTCCCAAAGGGCAGTGTGTGTGTGTGTGTGTGTGTGTGTATACACATATGAAAAGAGAGAGCATATCTTCTGATGTCACACAGGCCTGGCTTCCTTAATTAACTGTGTGATCTGAATAACCCCCAGAACCTCAGTTTCTTTTTTCTATGGTGTGGGTAAGTATTCACTTCCTAGGGATGAATTGTAGCTATGTGGGGAAGGGAGAGAACTCTTTATCCTTCCCAAAAGGTTTGCTGTGATACTGAATCAATCTCTAAGTTGAGGAATGGATTTTGCAGGGGTTTTGGATAATAAGACCAAACTTTCAAAATTAGTTACCAGTAAGGATTGAGATAAAATCTGTCAATTGCATTGCAATATAAAGAACAATATAATTCCATTTAGAAGCCTGTGCATTATGCATTGATGTGCATTTTCTTAAGGGAGTGAATTTCAAATTTTAGAACAGTGAATATTAAAGCAAATTTTGTTTGCCAAGGCATCTGTGGGATATATGATTGAGCAACTTAAATGCAATTGAATATTTTCTTTTAATATTAAAGTAGTACAGTAGTAATAGCCCAAAGAGGTTAAGTAGATTCTAGTTGCAATCCTAGCAGTTTATCAGCCTATATAAGAAAACTGTCTTGCTAACATTGCCTGTAGTTTCAGGGTCATAGCATTTGGTATTCTGTACATAAAGAAAAAAAAGATATAATTTCTTTCTATTAAGTTGCTTAAAGGAAGGCTTGATTTTACTTTCGTGTAATATTTAAGACTTTGTATCTAACTTAATCTAGTAGCTTGAATAAACTGAATATGTGAAATAGATGAACTCCAATAAAATGGTTTTTATGTGTTATTAAAGTAGGACTTAAATTTTAAATTTGATCTGGAAAAAAAACCTGAATGATTTAATTCAGACAAGTTCAGGTGAATTAAGTTCTACATAAATAATAAATTTTATTTCTACTGAGTGATATAAGAAAGAGTAGTATTTTCATCTTTAGAAAGAGTTAGTTTTTCCTAGCTGGTAAATTGACCTGGGATTGCTGACTTTACATATTTTAAAGCCCACATCCTTTTGGGGTTTACAGATGGGGAAAGTTAGAATTAAGTTGTAAGATTGTGGCTTCATATTGCCAAAAATGATCTGTTGGTTCAAATAATTTTCTAGTAGAAAAATCAGGCAAATAATTTCCTCAGTGTTCTTTGAAATTATGCTGCATGGAGGTTTTCCTGGTTAGATGCACATTTTCCATTGCTTTTAGACGAGTAATCTAGCAATAAACATAGTTATTTGCTAGCTTGTTAGAAAATTCTATTTGTAGTGGAAAGGGTTGTCCTATTGAACTCAAAGATTCTGAGTCTTTTAAAGTCATCTTGTGGTATTTCTTCCTCTTAAAAACAACAACAACAACAACAACACACAGTCCTTTTTGAAAAAAAAATCAGTAATTATTCCCGAGAAAAATGCAGGATACAAATACTTGCAAAACCTTGCAGATAATTTTTGAGAGTTCATAGATCCCTGAAGTAATCTCCATAGTTGTTGGGAGACCAACTCAGAGGAGCAGAATTCCTCTTTTTGAAGATGTAAAATAGTGGGAGAGGAATAAGCGTTTAAGCAAAACTGAAATTTGACCCTGCACCTTTTTCATCAGAACATGTACTTGTTGAGCACCTACTGTGTTCCAAGGGTTCCCGCAGTGAGCAAGGCATAAAGGGCCTTGAGCTCACAGAGCTTATTTTCTGGGGGATGATGATTGTTAGGGTGCCACACAAGTGTCTTGACTCTCAGGATTAATTCTTGCTGGTGCTTGTAAATTTAACCCGTCTTTTTCTTCAGAAACCAGAGATGATTTTGATTAATTGACCTGACAGTGCATGGCACATCATATTTACTTGGGAGAATTTAATAACCCCAGAGACTCCCAAAGGAAACATGAAAATTTCCACATACTATCATCCTAATGGGATCATAGTAGGAGAATGTGCAAGCAAAGACTGGGAGTTCTCACAGGCAGGAGGAAGCTTTCGGTGCTTTTTTTTTTTTAATGTTGTTAAAGTTTTTTTTTTTTTTCTCTTTTTAATCTGAATTTACTTTGGAAAGAAAAGTCAGAACAACAGACACTGGAAGCATGAAGCTAAACATTTATTGTATTCCTAGGGAAATGAGTAATTTGCTTCTGAGGAAACATATTATTTATAATTTAAAAATATGTAGAAGTGATTTTTTTTGTTAAAGTACGGTGGGAAATATTTTATATAGGTGGGAATTTTGAGAGAGTAAAGAATTAATCTAGAATATTCAATAGAGATGGTCCTCCAGGTGTTCTCTAGCACCAAGTAGAATCAATATCCATCACCTGGCGAATGTGTTAGAAATATAACTTCAAGGAGCCCAGCCCAGATACACTGAATCAGAAACCTTGAAAAGTAAACCTATGTTGTACTAAACCCTTCTGGATGATGGTTATGGTGATTTTGATGCTCTAAAAGTTTGAGAACTATAGATCTATAATTATATCCAAATTATTGCTTATTTAGTTGATACTTATCACATATATATGCATGTAAATCATATTGGGAGCTTTGAAGTTTATAATGCAACACATGGCATATTTTTAGCATGTTCATTTTCCTTTAAAATATTCTCTTATTTAAAGGAAGTCTGATTTTAAGTTAATGCCGAAAATAAGATTTATATCAAATGAGATAATTGTGTACTAAATTAGAAAACATATTTGAAAAACCAAGTATGCTAACACAGGCTAGATACATTATATATTATAGTTCTCTTTTGCTTTCACACACGAGTTTTTGCTTTCAGGTATATATTTTTTAATTTGTCATATATATTACTAATTCACTCTTCTACTTCATTTCACAGTGTTTAAATGTGCTTTGAATGTAGAAATATTGATATATTAGAAAGTTAGAATCATATCTCTGAGTTCATTTTGGATATGCCCATTTTTGAATATCTTATAATTTATACTGAAATGGAATGAAGTTTTATATGTCCGTAGGGCCGAGTTAAGTCTGAATTTAAGAAATTAGAAGTATAGGACATATTGCATTTTCTCACTGCTGCTAGTACCACCCTTGCTGCCCAGCTCCTATCAGCCTGAGGGTGCAAATGAGTTACCTTAACATTAACATAAATAATCTACACTTTTCTGGCTTGTTGTCCCCATTTGCTGACAGCATAACGCAGCCCCTTCTCTGGAGGATGCCCCTGTTCTTTGGGGAGTTTTCAGAGTGTATTCAGATGGCTCAGGAGCAAGGCTGCGGTGGTTCCTACGCTGGTCTCAGGGTGTTTTCTTGATTGCTCCGATGTCTGGGGAAGGCTGGTCCCCTGTCCAGATCCCCTGTCTGATGTGTCCTCAAACCTTAGAACCTTCTATATATAGGTCAACAGGTGCTCTATGGTGGTCACAACTTCCTTTGCTGGGGAAGCCCTAATTCTGACCCCTATCAGAAACAGGGAGACTGCTGCTCCACCCCTTCCCATCAGACCTGGGCCTGGAAATGGCACTTCTCATGCCCCCAGGATTCAGACCTTGTTCTTAATGGGAGAAGACACCTCTTGTATTGTTAACGTGAATTCCATGCCATTCCTCAGTTCCCACTTCTCCTTCCTAGGCACATACACATTAAAATTGGAAGGTCCCTTCCCCTTGGGGATCCAGGTGAATAAAACCTTGTAGGAGGGGTCACAGCAGGCATTGGTCCTATGTGGTCATCCAGGGCCCCACCCTGAGAAGGGTCTTTCTGTGCTTGGTTTCTCAAATGAGGCAGCTGTCCTGGGCAGCCTCCCACCCACTCAGCATAGATCCAGACTCTGTACTTCACCTTAGGGACAGTTTGCTCGACAATGTCTCTTTCCCTTTTAGAGTAGTTGCTTAGATTTACATTAATAAAACAAAAATTCCCCTTAGAGCATTTTCCAATATCTGGCAATGAGATACTAAATTCCAACAGAACGTTTTTTTATAGGACCAGTAGAGTCTATAAATATATAGGAATCCTGCAATAGTGGACTATTATTGGCTTCTTAGATATCAAGTCAACTTTGGATGTTTTTCTTTGAAAAAATCATATTTGTTTACAGATTTTCCTGTGAAAATTTATCAGAAACCAAATTAAATGTGACTCATTCATTAGACACGAATGGAGGACCCATTGAGTACTAAGTGCAAGACTATAAAAATGGACTAAGGTCCACTTCTGTTTTCTGAGAGCTCAGAATGGCAGATGCCCAGAGCAATGACTTCTGTACAGGGAGCAGGGTGATAGGGTAAGGGAAGAGATTAAATATTGTTTACCAACGTAGCGCTGTCTGGAGTGGCGTGGTGTTTGTGGAAGGCCTTGGGAGTGTACTTTAGGATTCCCATCACTGTGGCTTGGTCAGACTTGCTGTTTCGATTCATATTTCATCATGTTCCCCCACCCCACCCCCCTGTGCTTTTAGCCTCAGCACCTCAATCAGACGAAGGCTCTGACATTGACTCTGAACCAGATTTGCCCCTGAAGAGGAAACAGCGCAGGAGCCGGACCACCTTCACGGCAGAGCAGCTGGAAGAGCTGGAGCGTGCTTTCGAGAGAACCCACTACCCTGACATTTACACCAGGGAGGAACTGGCCCAGAGGGCGAAGCTCACTGAGGCCCGAGTGCAGGTACTGGCAACCACACTTCCCCCGCCTACTCGATGCAGATAGGAAACCCACGAAGGTCTTCTCTTCTGAAACATGGTTTAAACCAAGAAAACAAATGCATTAGGAATGGCACTAAGTGGGAATGTGTGTCTTCGGATTTTGGTTATTACTAAGGAAATATGCTGGTAATATTTAGGATGCACAGAAGTTCATCTTATTCATGGTTGTTCCTCGTTTCTGGAATCCTTACTGTGTACCAGGTACTTTAGGGATTTGGAGGTTAGTCCTGAGATAATAGCAAACAATTTTTTTTATAACTTTATTTTATTTATTTATTTATACGTGGTGTCAAGGATCGAACCCAGAACCTCACATACTGCTGAGCCACAACCCCAGCCCCAATAGCAAACAATTTTTGAGTGGATATTCTGTTTCAGGCACTATTGAATTAAGTCATCAATCATTACTAGGTTGATACTATCATTACCCCTACTTTATGAATAAGGGAATGGAAACTTGGACTATTTAAGTAACTACGTGTGGTCGCACAGCTGCATAACTAGTGAACAGAGATGTGGATCCCATGCACTGCATCTCTGGCCTTTCCATTAGGAAAATGTACAAAGGTGCATAAGGTAAAGTCCTTTCCTTTAAAGACCATAGTTTGGAAGCACTTCAAGTACTTACACAATTTTAATACTATATTGAATTATCTTTTGAACTCTTGGAAGTACTCGGAGCCTTCTGGAAATGGCTACTTAGATGTAACATGTTTCTACTGAATGTAGAATATTTACATCATCAGTGGGGAGCTTCGCCCTCAAGTTAGTTTGGTAGACTCTAAAAGACAGTAACCTGGAACTCCTTGCTGCCCCAGAAGTTGAGTTATCGTACCCAGAAGTTACTCCCAGCCGTCCGATTTTCAGAGTCTAAGTCCTGGTGACACCATAGCGATAAATCAGTCAAGGGACAGGTCCCTGGATTGGGGCAGTGCTTCACATTCACAGTGCATTACCTCTCTGATGACAGTTCTTTACAGAAGTAGCCTCTTACAGCTTGCACAGTCTAGGTAGAGGGATTGTTTTAGGTGGAGAAAAGGAAAGGACGAGACCCTAGGGTATACAGAGAGGTCAAGGATAGACAGCTGTGGGACAGAGGGTGGAGAGAGTATGTTAGTAACAGGGAGTCACATGCACAAAGGCATAGAGATTGGAAGTGCTTGGGCACCATGTAAGATGACCTTGCATTTTCACACAGTCATTGGGAGACAGCAGTGAACAGTCCAGTTTGCTTAGAGCTTACACAGCTGCAGCCGCAGGGGGAGAGGCAAGCTGTGGACCTCCTGTGGAGGCTGGAGAGTCAGCCTGGCAGCTCACAATGGTGCTACAGGCAGTGGGGGCTATGGCGTGAAGTTGGTAGCTGTAGTGTGTTGGTGAGGAAGGGATGGTGGCAACAGGTACTCAGAGGTGGTATGCAGGCCGTTGGTGGTGTAAGACAGAGGTGAGTAGGAGGTGAAGGAAGAGTCACCAGGGGTCATTGGGCTGATGATTTAAAGTTGGAACTGTCGAATTCCTCTGCCCACCTCAGTGGGATCCAGAGTAAAGTCATTATGGTGTGTGGTTAACATAGGTCATTTTTGTCCTGGGCAATGGGGAGAAACACACTGTATCCCAGTGCCCTGGGTGAAGGGATGTAATAGTTCTGTCATGCTGTGATATTATGATACCATATAATGCTGTTATAAAAATAAATACGTGAGACCTATTTTGCTTTGATTGTAGCTCTGTGGTTACCTGGTTTAAATGTGAAGGGACACATTAAGCGTGGACATTGAGTGTCTATTTCAGGATTTAGCTCCTATGCTCCATGGTTGGCCAAGCCCACATCCTGGGTCTGTGGTTCTAAAGACAGGTTGAAGATCAGTTCTGAACTCAGGGAATCAAAAAACAAACTTTTTTTTTTAATTTAAAGAGATGAGACAAGGCAGGTGATGGGAACTGAAGGGGTGTTCACTATTGCACTACCTTATTTCTGCCTTTGTCCAAAATAAGGTTGGGGACAGACAAAATTTCAAACCCCAGTAGCTTGCATGGTACCCAGCATTCTCATGTGGCTCAATGAATGTCAAAGAATAATAGTAATGGCCCATTAACTTCCAGAGGACATGGGATCAAACCAATAAAGAGTGGTTCATATTTTTCTGTACAGTGACCTCCTTTCCAAAGCAGGGTCCTCATTAACGTAACAGCTGTCTTAATGTGGCTTTAACCCGGTGACTCCTTACATTCCTTATGGCTTTGTTAGTTCCCTGGAGACACATCATGTCTTACACCAGGCTATGATCTACAGCCTAACAAATTCCCTAGAACACCCAGCATATGGACCCTTTACTTAACCCAGCAGGAAAAAGAAGGGAGTAGTTAATCACTGATTAAAATGCCAAAAGAAAATTTTGTAGTTTTTAGAAGGATCTGGGAAAGCAGTAGCTAAGTCAGCTCACTTTGAGTGATAGCCAGAAAGTGTGAATTAGTTTAATTTGGGGCACCTGGGAAAACCGAGCCTCAAACACCCCAAACCGCAAACCATGTCTACATTCTGTCCTCCGCCCCTTCCCTCCACCAGAAGGAAAAATATTTCTAGACTCTTCTGGATAGAGATGAGACTAAAGCTGTAAAAACATAGGTTTTTGTCAGTGTTTTATAAAAATTCATTTGGACAGTAGCTATGTTGTGTTTTTCATGGCCAAATCTGAGTACATGATCTGAGAACTAGTGTACAGCAAAGACTATTTGCCTAATAATAACAACATTAGAAGTAAAAAAAAAAAAAAAGACTGCTGAATTTACTGGGGTAGCAGTTCTTATGCAAATGATGACAAGCATTACATATTTAGGGGGCAAAATTATTTGCAAATATTTATGATGTGCAAAAGTTTTAGCAACTATTTCATCTAAGAATTCCATGGAGAAGGCACTTTTCTCCTCTATTACCATGATATTGGAAGATAGGAAGGGATGCTACTTGTGGAAATATCATTTAACAGGCAGTCAGACCATGTGGGTTTTGGTCCCCCACTTACCAAAAGTGTTTTGTTGAGCAAGTCACTTAATCTTGCTGGGCTTTAATTTTTTCCTTTTTTTTTTTTTTAAAATAACTTATATGGAGTAAGTTAGATCAAATGATCTTAGCCAGAATATTCATGGGTGAACTTTTGAAGAGCTTGAGATTTGTACGCAGGTTGTGTGTGTGTGTGTACATGTGTGTACACAAGTATTAATTAGGGAAGCTGGATTTCATCTTATTCTCAATTACCATCTCTCTTACATCACAAATTAAAAACTACTAGTATGACTAGGATATATGATCTCTCTGGACCCTTTTGCATCAATAATTGGGGATTCTCTGGGAAACTTAATGGTTATTTAAAACCACCTAACATATCTGTATAGTTTAGAAGTTAAGATAGGTATAGAAATACTCTGAACTCCATAATGAAGCAAAACTATGGCCACCCCACAGCTCTCCATGGGAGATTGTTTCTGCTGTATGAGAAGCAGTTGAACGTGCTTTTGCAATTGTCCATGGTTCTCTGAGATGCTCGGGAATGTGACATTCCTGGCCAAGGCAGGATAGTACAGTGGTAAGAGGAGGGGAGAGAAAGGTGATGGGAATGAATGAGAGAGGGTCCAGAGAAAACAGCAGCGTGCCCCACGTTTTCCACTGTGCTTGGCATTGCGGTATTAGATGTCACCAAGATTAGTGCTTAAGAAAGCATTTTATGATCTCCTTGTGAATTCTCTTTCTAAGGATGAAGTGTTACATTCTCTCTCTATTTTTTTTTTCAATTTACATTTGAAATAACACATCTGGAGTCATGTTGGTTAGATTGCCTTTGAAGACAACACCAAAAAAAATGTGAAACAGTATTTTACTGATGGGCAAAATTAGGCTCACACCATGGGACAATTAGCACTAGTCAACGAAATTTGAAAGCCAGTTTGACCTAAGCTTCCCTTCAAGTCAAACTGGCTTTTGAGTATTTAAGGTATTCTTCGGGCACTTTCCCAGTTACTTATTGGCATGTAAGGCTTTGGCTGTGGGCCACAGAATGAGGAAACAAAGCAAGTCTTTAAATCCTGGTTTTCTCAGACATAAGTATCAGTGTGAGACTTTTAATGAAGAGGTAATATTTTATATTTTATTTTTTTAGATATATTTTACTTGTTGATAGACCTTTATTTTATTTACTTATTTATATGTGGTGCTGAGAATCAAACCCAGTGCCTCACATGTGCTAGGCAAGCACTCTACCACTGAGCTACAACTCCAGACTCTATAATTTGGTTTTATTTTTGGCAGTGCTAAGAATAGAACCCAGGGCCTCATGCATGCTAGGTGAACACTCCACTGCTGAGCTATCTCCATAGCCAACGGCTGACATTTATTGAATACATAATATCTCCTATATATTCTTTGAAGTGCTTTGATTCCATCTTTTTAAATTGTTACAACCATATTGCAAGGTAGTTTTTAAAAAAATATTTTCTCTTTAGCAAATCAAAAATCAGAGGCCCACCATTGATAAGCAAATTGTTCAAAGTCACAGAAGTAGTAAGTCAGGAGCTGGAACTCTGCTTTTGCTGTTCTGCATTGAAACCTTTTGTGTCATTACTGTGGGGAGTACTCAATTTTCCCCAATTTCTATTGTTGAGGATCTGAACAAGTTGGCTACTTTGCTCATAAAGAGAAAAATTTATGAATATCTTATTCCTCTTTTGCAATTCATAATCTTTTTTTTTCCTGGTTATTATGATGCTTTGGGGAATCTTTCAACGAATTTAAATTTTGCCTTGAAAAGTTTTTTTGATATCTGAGTATTCCTGAAGTTCATGTGAAGATCATTTTCCAAAAGGAATAGGTATAGTTTTATCACTGGACTCAGTACAGAGATGTATAGGGAGAGAAAAGCCCAGGGGGTGGACAAAAATGCACCGGGCTCTAGTTTATCAAATGAAGTGCAAACTTGCTTTGAGGGTGTTTAGATGCATTGTGGTATTACAGTGCAATTATAGGCAATTAACTGTGCCTAAGAATAGGTTACCAACCAATGCGGGAACCTGCCTTCACTTCCTTACATGCCAAGAGTGACCTGGGAAGCCAGGTCCCAGGTCATGTGCTTTGCAGAGAGGAACATTGAATTGAATTACATATCATAGAACCACATTATCAGGTATGTAGCTGACTTTGTAAAATTGGTGGAAAACTCATATTCTCTCTTAGAGGATCAATCAAAGGCCAGTTTGTTTCTCTTGTTATTCTTTTCAAAACCAGGAAAAATTATAGTAATTGCAACTGAATAATGAATACTCTCCATTTATTTTAGATGAATTTATTTAGTATTTTACACTCACATATGTCATTTACACATGTCATTGATGATCTCTTAGGAATTAGTGATTCTCTATTGAGTTATCTAAGACTTCTGAGTACCAAGAGATTTTTTTTTTTCAGTTAAATATAGGAAGATAATAGCGTCCCAGGATCTCTGTGCTTTGTCCATTTGGGTATTTAAAATGAAGAGTATTTCAAGGGCATCATTTTCTACTAAAAAGTGAAGACATGTCTCTTCTGAGTTTCAAAGCATGAAGAGGGCAAAGACTACTTCTCAGCATTCAATTTCAGTATATTTTCCTTCAATTTTTTTTTTTTTTGCAGGCTTGGCTAGTTCTAGGAAATGAAGAAGGTTGGCATTGGTAAGATGATAAAAAATTTATTTAAGTGGTCAGAGACAGGAAGGCCAGTCCTCACTATGCCCTGGTTCTCTCAATAATAGCCCTCTGAGCCTAAATTTAAAGAACATTTAAATTCTTGCTTTTGGGAAACTCTTGCTGAAGGCTTATTTTTCAGTAAAATAAGATTTGTTTCTCAGCAATTTATCAGCACCGTTTTGTAGACATAAAATATTATATTGCAAATATGAATTTTTAAATAAAAATCTTTACCTCCCACCCCTAAACCAGCTCCTGGTGGGTTTACTGAAAATCTTTTAAATTTATTTGTGTTATTAAAAAAAAAAAAGAAAGAAAACAAATCTCAAATCCTTATACTCCTAGAATCTATCTTTTGAAGGAATTTGTAGAAAGTTCTGATATTTTTTCTTTATGATTCCAGCAATGACCTTCTTTGCTTTTAAAAATTGAGTTTTGGTCTGGCTAGAACAGTAGGTGAGATGGGTGGGGAGATCAGGCACTGCTGCCCTGTGGTAAATCTAACCTGGTTTGCTTATCTAAAGGTCACAGAAGGAAGTTGGCACAGAGAGCATGGCAGCAGGCTCTGATAAGAATCCGTGTGTAGGTTTCTGAGGTCTCCATGGAGGGTCTTACTACTGGCATTGAGGATGGTAGATATATGCAGGAGCAAGATCACATCTGTACTTTGGGGAGTTTATTTTTCCTCCCAGTCTGGCACGTAAAGCCAGAGACATGCATCGTTGGTCTAGCAAGGTGTGTGGGGCCACCTTGGCTGAGTGGAAGTGCCTCTTTTACCTTGAGGGTTTATAATATGAAGCTATGACCACAGTAGGGGGTAGAGTAGAGTATACTCAAGCATGAATGTGACTCTAAAACAGTTTGTCCCAAGCTCTTCTTTGAAAGTGGATTTCTTTTCTTAATTAATTAACTAATTTAAATTAGGTATATATGACAGCAGAATGCCTTTTGATTCATTGTACACAATTGCAGGACAACTTTTCATTTCTCTGGTTGTACACGATGTAGTGTCACCCCATTTGTGCAGTCATACATGTACCTAGGATATTGATGTCATCTCATTCCATCATCTTTTCTGCCCCCATTCCATACCCCTCCCTCCCTTTTGCCCAGTCAAAGTTCCTCCATTTTTCCCCTGCCCGAACCCCATTATGGATAAGCATCCACTTATCAGAGAGAAAATTCAGCCTTTGATTTTTTGGAAAAATGGTTTTCTTACCACGATGCCTCTGGGAGTCTGGGTGACAGGCACTCAGACTTGCAAAGAGAAAACAACAAAGCCAGACCCCAAAGGGCTTGCTGTTTGTAGTTCTGTTACCCCAGGTGGCAATTTATTAAGTAAAAGCTCTGATTCAATTATGTATCAACATGGGAAATATTGATTTACCTTCTTTTCCTGTTGGAAAAATAAAGAGTATTAAATGTTAATATTTTGTGGAAGTTCAATCCACCTTTCTTACCAGTGTTGTAACCATGGCTAGAGAAGAAAAATCTTTTTTTCAGACTTATTGGGTGAGTAATGGAAGTTTGAGCAAGTGCTAAATTGAGTCTTTTGCTCCAGAAGGAAGAAAAATCGTTTCCTATTATATTTTGTAAATCATATGACTTTAAATAATTCCAACTAAGTTGTAAAATTGTTAGTATTGTCCTAGAAGGAAATCATATTTCACTTTTTTCTTAGTCTGGTCAAGTCTTTCTACTCTGAATTGTGACCTCCATCTGGAAAGATTCCTTATGGAAATCATATCCAAACTGTAAAATGAGCTGCAATTTTGCCTCCATTCTAAAGATGTCCTGATCTTCTGTACCTTGAAACATGGAGCTTTAGTGAGCACTTATTTTGGTCTCCTTGACTTCTCTGTGAGCTCCATGAGGACAAGGCTGGAAACCCTCAAGTGTAAGGGTCCTGCCTCACCCACTCTTATCCCTCCAACATCAAATAAAATGCTTTGTTCATGTTAAGTTTTAATGAACTTTTTTTTTTTTTCTTTTTGGCAGTACTGAGGTTGAACCCAAGGGTACTCTACCACTGAGCCACACTGCAAACCTTTTTTATTTTTTGAGACAGGGTCTTGTTAAGTTGTCCAGTCTGGTCTTGAACTTGTGATCCTCCTGCCTCAGACTCCTGAGTAGCTGGGATTACAGGTGTGCACCACCACACCTAGCTTCAATTAACTTTTGATTGAAAAAGAAAAAAAGAAGTTCTTTAATTGATAGAAACCTTCTCTTGTGGTAATCATTATGTGTGTACCTTGGAAAAATTACCCCAAGTTCTATGTTTACATTCTGCAAATAAAAATCTTGGATAAGGTCATGTAGCTCATGGAAGGCCTTATATTGCAACAGTTTAGATGTTCAGTTATATTTCTTGTTGCCATTTTTGTTCTTTCTCTCCACTGATACACACACACAATACTTGGACTTTGAATCCCTGGAAGTATTTTATTATATTATATCAGCACAGTGACCAGCACAGAGTATCATAGGTGCTTTAAAACTATTGAAAGAAATGATAAATAAACTATTTAAGATGAAAAATATTTTAATTTTTGGAAACACTTTGGCCTTTATTTCTATTGAGATCAGTGTAAGATTTTAAACTTTGAAAGGGATGGTCAAATGGCTCCATTTGCTTATCCTCTGGCTCAATTGATCTGATTATCTCGGAGATATGTCCATAATGACTGTGGAAATACAGAGAAAGACTGATAGGAGCATAAAAACACAAGGCTTGGTGTATGTAATAAGCAAGGTCAAATGTAAGGTTGTCCTGTGTGGGTCCCAGAGCTCATGAATACTTGCCAGAAAACCTGTGGTAAGAAGGTGGATGGGTGCTGATGGTCACAGTGGAAAGCTGGTATAGTTGCAACCACTGCTCAGCAGTCTTCACCCTTATTTATTACAAAGATCATGGGGGCTTCTACAAGACCATGGAAGGTCCTCCATGCCTTCTGCTGACCCCTGGCCTTTCATTCTGCTTTCACCATTGACAATACTCCCAAACAACACCAAAGATGGAAGACTCTTGCATCTCTATGCCCTGTCAGTAAGGGGCCTTTAATCTGTTTTAGCATGAAAAATTCATTAAGAATGTACTATTATTTCATCAGTGAAATCCTCAAATTTTAAATTAAATCCATAGGTCTGGTTTAGCAACCGCCGTGCAAGATGGAGGAAGCAAGCTGGAGCCAATCAGCTGATGGCTTTCAACCATCTCATTCCGGGGGGATTCCCTCCCACTGCCATGCCAACCCTGCCAACATACCAGTTGTCGGAGACCTCGTACCAGCCCACAGCTATTCCACAAGGTACACACAGAAAGGAAGTCACTGAGATTAGATGTAACTCCTAATCGCTCTGTCTGGTGGATATTTTATTATACAGTGAATTCTTTCCCTAAGTTGACCTCGGTGCTGTTTGTATGTCAATTATGTGACATCAGGTTGTCTTAAATGTTCCTGCCACATTTCAGAAACATAGTTTGTCCTAGGACATATCTGAATCTCTTTAGATAAACTGTGTTGTAATGAAATACTATTTCAGTGTTTTAAAAGGAAATAACAAATAAACATGGGATTTGCTTTTTTCTTGGTTAGAATGTTACTGCTCCAATTTGTAATTACCTGAAGCTCTCCAATGGTTACTAACTGGAGTGGTAATATAGGGAAGGGAAGGGAAGCTTTGATAAAGTTACTGTGTGTTAGCAAATAGGTAGAAGTGAACTGGGTAATGTTGAATTGTAAGACTAAATCGATTTTGGATTAAGAATATATAGCATGCCAGGTACTTGAAACTGTGCTATCATACTGATATTTAGGTAGTTGTACCTAATATTATAGTACCTAATATAGTACCTAAATGAATCAAAAAGTACATTTTGGTGGGAAATTTGATGTTGCAGTCATGATATTGGTGAATTCTCACATTGATTAATAGTTTTCACTGACAAAAGAGGCTTGTAGATGTTATCAATGTGATTTCTGCATTCATATTCCAGGTGACTATGTCATGAGCGCATATACCAGTCATACACTTGCAAATAGGCCCAAAAATAGGTGTGACTATTTGTTGAGTGATTCTGCACCTGCATGTTAGGAAATGCATTTGAAATTCACATTCCATCTGAGCCATAGTTGCTACTACTGGCTTGGTGACTTGTGAACTTTTGCATTGAACCTGTCTCACTGGCCTTTAGAGGAGCTTTATCACTGACAGCCTTCTTCATTTCAGCTGTGTCGGATCCCAGCAGCACTGTTCACAGACCTCAGCCGCTTCCTCCGAGCACCGTACACCAAAGCACTCTTCCTTCGAACCCGGACAGCAGCTCTGCTTACTGCCTCCCCAGCACCAGGCACGGATTTTCCAGCTATTCAGACAGCTTTGTGCCTCCGTCGGGGCCCTCCAACCCCATGAACCCCGCCATTGGCAATGGCCTTTCACCTCAGGTCAGTCCCATGGTTCTAGACAGACGATTTGCTGTATACCAGAACCAAATAGTCAATTCCCCGAGGCAGTAGAATAATGAATTACCAAATTTAAACCATAATGTATTCTTTATACAAGCCACATGATTTCAGTTTTCTAGTTTCCTTTCTCTCTACCCTTCCTCCTGCTGCATCAAAAGTTGTAACTTAGACTTAAAATCCAAGCAACTCTTAAGGTAATCACAGAGACTTTGTGTTTATACTGAGTTGTTAAGTCATTTGCCATGTGTCTTCTCTATCCCAGCTCTGATTTGGTTAAGAACCTCACAAACAGGATGGGTCTTTTTTGTTATTGTTGTTTGGTTGGTTTTTGCCTCAAATGGTATTTGATCAGCTGACAGGGTTTTGAACAAACCTAACTCATGAGAAAACACCAAATCTTTGACAAAACAATTGGAGAGCAAGCAGACAAGTTGGGTGGAGAGAGACCCAGCTGATGGCTATGGATCCTTGGAATGAATGAGTTATAAATGCACAAATTAGGAGAATTTCTGCTCTTTGGGAATATATAAATATTTGAATGTTGTAATTGTTTTTCTAATTTGCATTGGACTATGAGCTTTTCTTGGGAGATCACATTAATAAATTGCCTTGATAATTGCATGTCAGAGGGATGGTTAAATTTCCTACATGTGGCATCTGTCTGAGGTTGACATTATTAGCAGTTGTTTAAATACAGATCACTTGATTTTATTAGAGAGCAGTTGGCCCAGGTGGCAAGGATAGCTGCCCACTAAATTTGGAGAAATGTCACAAAGGGGTTGCAATCTATAATTGCAATCGAGAATCTCTTCAGGGCTGAGAGTGAGAGTTTTAACAGCTTTATCTTTTCTTGACCTCTTTTTTTTCCTCCTGGTGGTTAGAAAAACAGAGAGAAGCTCAGAATGACACAAATGAAAAGTGAAAAGACAATTATACTCAATTACACACTAATCACGGACTATCACCGCCGCCTAAGCACCGAGAGGGCATTCTAATAGGCAGAAAATGAGATTTTAATGGCACAAAGGGTGGCCAAAATAACGACTCATATATCTTTGCCTTCTTGGTTTTCTTCAACTCGTGGCGTGTGTGTCTTAGAGTGGAGCTCTTGGGCTCTGCACAACGGTGATAACTCTGAGCAGCTGAAAAGTTCAAAGCCATTGGAGTTGAAAAGAATGGATAGCAAAGGCAATGAAATAAACATTTCCCCCTAAAGGCAAAAGTTCATAAATCCTTTTTTGTAACACTAAATGTAATTAAGTTTCATAGATTCCTATAGCACATCCTGGGATTAAAAAAAGAAGTAAGGGAGCTTTAAACCTCAACTGCAAAATAACAACATGAAAACAACCAAAGTGCTTCCTACAGCACTTGAATGCATTTTATGTCTGAGGACTGGCATTTGTGAATGTGATTTTGCATGACAATCATGGGTTTATATTAATAGTCGTCTTTAAAGTGCCCACATGCATCACACAGAAGATTCTTCCACCGGTTAGAAGTAACACAGGAAGCAGTTATGTCTGCGATTTTTAACGTTAGTCTTTTAGGGCCATAGAAAAGCTTCTTATGAACATGATTTCGTTGAAAGTTTTCATAGATGTGAACTCTGACCCTAGCCACTTCTGTAAGGTGAGATGCAGGATTCCACTGGCATTTCTTAGAACTCATTTTAGTTGATCATAAGGAAAAGAACAAGAATTTGTATTCTTGTTGGAAACAACTAGTTTCTTGTATTATATTATCTTGGATGCAATGATAAATGTATTATATAGGTATTACGTAAGTGGTATTACTAGAACCTGAACTTCCAGCTGCTAATCCTTGACTTTAAGAAGACTGACAGAATTCAGAGTTGGTGGTAGAGTGGAATCATTTAATGAAGCAATGGAAAATTCTACAGGCAACTTTTCCTTATTACATCTTACATGTTACCTTAATCACTTATTACCTTGCAAATATCCAGGATATTTTGTGTTTCTACCACATATTTCTGCCTAAGATCCTGTGTTGTCTTAGTTCTGGTAGCATTGCTAATGAGTAAAGAAAGAGATGAATAAGATGAAGTTTCTTCTTATTTCTTCAGGCAAAGTTGGAGAACAAGATAAGGAATGATTCTCTATCTCAACAAACATATTTGTAAATTAGTGATGTAGAAAAAAATGGGATTGGAACTCAGGTTTCTGTAACTGTTGGAGTTTATCACTTCTCACAAATGCTTTTATGTATACCAGAGGTGCCTGTACCAGTTTTGGTTGTCTGGCTTTCTTAAAAATATACTATTTCTTAAAAATAGTATAAAGAAAAATTGGAAGAAGGGCTAGGGCTATAGCTCAAGTGGTAATGCACTTGCCTCACATGTGTGAGGCACTGGGTTCAATCCTCAGCACCACATACAAATAAATTTTTTAGTCTACAACTAAAAAGAAGATGTCTAGTAACACGGTTTACCTGTTAACTAAAAAAGAGACTAAAAAAAAAGTGACTCTTTTGCTTATTTATACACATATGTTTATTATAGGGAGATTATATATATATATATATATATATATATATATATATATATATATATATATATTATCATTTGCTTATTATAGAGAAGCACTGATTAACATGTTGGATCAGAAGATGCCAACAAAGAATTCATGTTGCAATTGTGTTTTCTCCTTTTCCTTTTCACCTCCTCTTTTACCTGCTCCACTTCTGTCTGGTCATCAGTTATGCAAATGGTTCAACTAAGGCCCCCAAAGACCCGGCAGCCATAAGACTAATAGGGAGGGAATTGGGACTAGATTCCAGGATTCTTGGTCTAAGATCTCATCCACCATAGCACACGCTGGAGTGAAGAGGAAAGGCTTTATGGAAAAACAGAGGCAGAGGGTTTTAGTCATTTTTTAAAAATAATTTAGTAAACTTTAGGTTCATGTTACTTTATACTATTTTTTGCTAAATATTATTTCCATTAATCTCTTAACTGCTTCTAGTAATAAAAGAATTGCATGTGTTTGCATAAAGATGGAAACAAAATTTAAATATCCTTGGAGCCAGGAAAAAATATTCTCCCAGAGAGGCCACTGTTAATATTTTTGCTTATCACTTTCTAGCTTTCTAGGGTCCTTTCGGGGTGGTAGTGTATGTAATATGTCTCGCCTTTCCAGGTTTGGTCCCTTCATTGTAGATCTCTTCTCTGGAAGCTCCTTGACATGTTAAAAATATTTCTGCATTTTATTTGCTGTGTTCTCTGGCATTATTGAAGTTGATGTATTGTTGACCATTTGGAAATCATGAGCTGGGCTGTGTGTGGATCATCATCATAGACTGGACTTTCTAGTTTTTTTTTTTTTTTTTTCTGTGATGAAATTAATAGACATCATAAAGGTAGGCAGACCATTTCTCTGTATGTGTGCGTAGATAATGTTGGTTTTCATTTGGTGCCTCTCACGATGTATGTCTCCAGCAAAGATTTTATTAAAGCTCAGAAACACTCATTTGCCAAATGGTGCTCCGTAGACATCTCCAGGCCTCTCCTCAGGGAAGGTCTCTGCTTCATGGGGGGCAAGTGGGAAACAAGGATCCAGAGTGTTCACACCTGTACAGATGGTCAGGTAGTGTAGCAAGGCATTGTCCTGTACCGTGGCTGACTAAATCTCAGAATACCAAAATCAAAACAAAAACAAGAAACAATGGGAAACTTTGGTCATACCCTTCCTTGAGTTGCTGAAAGTAGTACCAGGGCAACTTAATTGATGGCAATTTTTCTTTGTTATCAAGCAATCAGCAACTATCTGGGGAGCATCCCCATTTTACTTGTGGGAAAATTGAGGCCCAGACAACACAATCATCTAAATAACAGAATGAGTTCTTGGCAGGGTTAAGCACCAAACCTATCTCCTATTTCTTACTAATTCTTCTGTGAACACAAATTATATTAAAGATTTTTTTTAAAAAAGTTCCTCCAATTACATATTTTTTATTTCTGGTCTCTACCAAAGGATGCATAATGTTCTGAGAAGCTTTCTGTGGGCTCTGGTACTGACATTTGAGCTGATTTTTCTGTAAACATGGTGGGAGGGCTTCACAAATGGAGGACTGGGCTTCCAGTCCCTCCAAAGCTGGATCCAAGAGGGACTACCTGAGGAGAGATCTTCAGTGATGGGTGAGGTGGGTGATTGGCTATAAAACCCCAATGTTTTCAACTTTCTCAGAATAACTGTCTGAACTACATGTTCTTTTGTTGTAGGGACAACACAGAATATGGGGAAATAGAAACCTATTTCTCCTTCATCCTCAGACAGTATGTTTCCAGCACCTTTCAGCATGTGCAGGAGGGACAGGGAATGGTCTTGGAATATGGAGTGCCAGGAAATGCTACCATATGCTTAAGACATGAGACTAATTAACATTTGGCTCATATTCTTCTAATTAACTTTCCTAGGCAAGAAATATGACCCACACTGCTCTCCTACCCCCAAACACACATAGCCAAACCCCCAAAACAAGACCAATGAAATTAACAAACTTTTATCATTTCACGCCCACCTCCACTCTCCTTCAACAAACTCCACAGTTCCTTAGTGACGGCTTCTAGGGATTTCTTGAGTGAAAAATAGTATCAGTGGATTCCATGCTCCTGGGCAGCCTTTCTATTGTTCTGTAGTATACAAAATTGGGGCCACTTGAATTTAGGGTTCATCAACCATTGCAAATGATTCTTCAAATGTTTTGGGTTTGGTAAAACCTGAAACACATTTCTGCCAAGCACTTTTCCTCCTTAATTTTTCAAACTGTGTATTTTAGGGAAAATTTGATCCATATGGTTTTGATTCATTTACTCTTATATCGTTGACATTTTTTTTTTCCTACGGAGCCATTTGATACCCAAGAAGCTTTCGGAGCCCTTCCTACACTCATTTAAAGCCTTTTCCTTCTTAAAAAGAGGAAGTCCTGTTTGCAACCTCAGAGGCCATAAATTTTGAGTA